ACGCAAAAACAAGATGGGGACTCGCAGTCGGGCTCTTGCGGCTGACGGAAACTGGCAGCGCTTCAGCGAGGCACAGCAACTTTGGCTGTCATTATGTATTCGTTCCCAAATAACAGCTGGATCTCCTCTGGTGGAGGCTCCCGTAGTATCGCTTTCAGTCCAAAGCTGTTTTACGAAACTCGCCGCAGTCCCTGGCAGATGTTTAGTGGTTTGAGCAAAGTCTTGACAGCAAATATATGACAGTATAAGCACAGTTGCAACAAATGACACTTCAGTTCCAGGAGAAAGTTATGAAAAAGCACTATCAGTCAGGGCTTATTATATAATACTAAATTTGAGTACACTTTACATTTCACATCTGAGATCCTGCATTAGTGTACAGTTTTTCTAAAAGGATGCATTCTGGGAGATACAGGTGCAGCTTCTTATTGGATTTTACAGTAATTAGCAGTTATTTGCTAAACGTATTGGAAGCACTGGGAGCAGAGCTTCCCAGAATTCCTTATGGTCTTGTAATTTCTGTTAATTAGCATTAATTTGTTTTTCTACACTCGATTTTACATTGTTATTTTTAAGGGTTATTCTTATCCAGTTACATTTGACGAAACACCTTTTGTGGTTCATTTAAAGCTGTGTAGGATGTACTACTAAGGGATAGTGTGCTTGTCAAACAGGTTCAGTTGGCTTAAATACCTATATTAGAATGAAATTCAGCACTACATAAAGATTGCACTGTATTACGTATTGTATTGCACTGTGCTGTTTAACTCTTTCTTTTCTCTGGGTATCAACATGGACTTTTGTTTCTAGCAGTATCTGAGCTCAGGACTGGCTTTCTCTCTAACCTATTGGTAACTAGCAAAGATACTTTCTCTAGATAGACAAAGCGCTTTTTGTAAGTCACTCTGGATAAGAATGTGTGCTAAATGCTGTAAATGTAAATTTCCATGAAGGCTGTCAGCAGTAAGGTATCTACAGTACACTACTGTATTATAGAACTACAGTATTACTTTGAAAACAGGAATTGCAGTCCAGTGCAATGTTGCTTTAATCAAGAAAACAGTACAGCTAACTGTAAATAAAAATACAGTAATGAACCATATAATTGGATTACAGCAATGTGCTGGATTCATGACTTGCAGTAATAGTACTGCAAAAAAAAGCGATATACTGGAGAATCTACTGCCAGTTAATTACTGTAATGTTGCGGGTACATATTTTAGTATGTTACAGTGGGGGTCCAACATTCATTTGCCAGGAAAAAAGTCAGGTCTTTTTTGTGACCTATGTTTTAATAAGTAGTTCAGAATGATTTTTGACTTGATGTATGATTCTAGGAAAAACTGTGATTAGTATAGAACCTTTATATTAACTTACATTAAGCAGGAGTTTGTTTCCCATTTGCTGCAGTTACAGTCTCCACTCTTCTGGGAAGGCTTTACGCTAGATCTTGGAACATAGCTGAGGATTTGACTGCATTCAGCCATGAGAGCATTAGTGAGGTCAGGTACAGATGTTGGATGGTCAGTTTTGCACACTCCAACTCATCCAAAAAGGTATTGAATGGAGCTCCATCACTCCAGAGAATGCTGTACCGCTGCTCCACAGCCTCGTGTGTGGCCGGTCTGAGCATCCCATTCTAATGGTCAGTGCCTTTTCTATGGAGATTGTACAAGCTATGTGCACAACTGAACGTAATCAGTGGTTGCACTTTAAATTAGAATGGCATATCTGTACCTCACAGAGACCGGAGGTACACTGAAATACCGAAACACATTAGGGAAATGCTTTGCTGTGCTGTCTTCCGTTTAAAAGCTCTCAGCGCGTGATACTTGGCCACCTGGCTAATGTGACAGTCACTGCGAAATTAGAGAGATGTTTAGTGTCTGCACTTCAGCAAGATGTCATGCTTCGTTTTCTCTCCCCCACTCACAAATCAGGAGGCATGAAATCCATTGGTCTTTAAAGATAATCTCTCTGCGATGCAAATCAGTCATTTCAAAAATGTTCTAGTGCTCTACTGCACTGATTTCCCTGAAACATGATGAGAGCCATGGTGAGATTACAGTGGAGATTGTGGACATGCAATCTCGCAGCTGTGGATGAGCCCCAAGACAGCGCTGGATCAAGTCCTAGCCTGCGGAATAACAGGGCCGTGTCGAATTTTAAGGACGGATGCTAACAAGGGAAAGAGCTCCCAACATATAAGCACTAGATTCATGGAATAACAATAAATGAAGCAATGAAGGAATAAAGAGTGGCGCTTAAATAAGATCAATAATGAGGATTCGATTAGAGCAGCCAATGTGAGCCCATCAAATGGTCCAGTGAGGATACAGGGTGCATTTCTATTATAAAAGAAAGAGGCCTGAGAATGCATTCTCATTTACAAGCACACCCCAGGGAGAGCGAAATAGATGGAATAGGAGGACCGGTGGGCAGCATCTTGGGTATAACTGCCTTGCTCAAGGGCACAATGATAATGTTCATTTGGGCAGAACATGGATGCAGCCTTTTCAAACAATGTCATTTCTCATAACACCCACCTGGGATCAATTGCCAGTCGGTATTCCTGACCACTGAGCAACCTAACTATACAGAGTCTGTTAACAGAGAAGGTCTGTTAGGAGGGTCTGTTTAATAGTGGTGATATTGTGGAAATCAGTCAGGGCAATACAAAATCAATAATAGGCCCTGAGATCTGAAGACTAAGATCATCAGAAATGGTCACCGTCTCGCTAATTAAATGTCAAAAGATCAGAAAAAGTACATGATTTAAGATCATATATTGATTTTGAACTACAGCAGGCACCAAAACAAAATGCCACAAAGAGAAGGTTGTTACTGTTCAAGAAGCTGCTGCAAGATCAAGGTGGTCTGTCCTGCTGTTTGAAAACAAAGAAAGCCACAACTTCGGCTTACGGAGCAGTATCACAATTTGTTGCTCTCCAATCTCTGGGGATCGCTTTGGGAGAAATTGCACACAGAACAGAGCGTCCCGAGCTCCGACCCAGCAACCACAGACTTTTCAAGTGTTGACAGGCTGCCACTTAAGCTTCTGCTATGATCAACCCCCCCAACACTCCCTGCTTGCCTGAAGATAAGATTTCCATTGTGTTTTCATTTTGGACTTAGACTGGACGAAGAATCTTAAAATGCCAAGTACAGCAGTGCCTCATGGAATGGGGAGATCTTCTAGGAACGTACTACGGCAATGTGGAACTGGTCATCCGTTCTTCCGTCCACATTCACATTAATTACAAAATAACTGGGAAACAATGACAAACAGCTGCCAAATCAGAGCACAAGTCACATATTGCACAATCACAAGGCTGTTGCACAACCACATGCTGTGACTCAAGGAAAACAACACAAGACGCGACAGTGACTAAGGTGGGAAACAAAGGCCTGACACAGTAAAACGTTACTGCATACAGGGTGAATGACGCGTTTCAATCAAGATTAGCTCAACTCATACAACCAATAAGGATTGCATATCCTTTTAGGTCAGCTAGGTATGAAAGCCAAAGATCAGATTACCAGAAAGTAATTATTCTTGTAAGATTAATGAACCAAATGGTCTCACTTCATAAGCCCATAACTGTATTATTTTTCAATTTACAGCGATCTCTAATTATTGGCACTCTTGGTAAAAATGAGTAAAAAGAAGTCATAAAAAAAGGCCTTTGTAGTGTATTAGTTCAACGTGACACTGAAAATGTGACAAGAATTTAACCATAAATTTCACGTCAATCTAGTCCAAGTGCACCTGAGAGTTCTTCCTGTTTCACTGGGGTAAAAAATGATGTGATACAGAGGCCAAATTCCCTGTCATGCATCAACATGGGGCAGATTAGAGGATAAATGAATGAGACAAAAGTGAGCTGATCGTTAAATCAGGTAACTGTTCTACCAAAAAGATGCCCCTATCCACTGAGAGAGCATAATTACGAAGGTTCAAACAAGTGGATCTACAGTGAACCTGCCTGGAAGAGAATGCATGACTGTTTTACCACCAAGCGCAGTGAAAAAAAATACTTTCAATGGTCAGGGTTGAAGATTTGCAGAAGATGGAGTCACCAAGTCTCCAAAAGTACAATTTAACACCACATTCATGCCAGCAAACTATCTGGAAAATGTGCCAGAAAAAAAAAAGTCTTTTCTTTCATCCAACCGCAAAGGTAAGCACCTCAAGTTCACCAAATGATACTGGAGCTAGGAACCAGGTTCTGTGGTTAGATGGGGCAAAAACAGCTTTCTGGCAACAAACATTTATTTTGGGTTTGGCATAAAAAGAGGTATGATTATACACAAAAAACCCATCCTCACTGTTAAGTATGGAGTGGAGGATCTGTGATGTTTTGGGGCTGTTTTTCCTTCCTTCCTTTCTTTAGGTTGAGACTGAGCTAATTAACCTCAGACTTTTTTTTTCTTAATGACCCTTGCCAAGGGTGCTAATAATTATGGACTGTATCTGGGGCTAATCAGCAGCTGCAAACTTTTGAACTGAATTCCTAAGTTGGTTTGCCCTGGTTTAGGCTAGAAGCTTGTAAAGCAGGTGCTGTTTTACATGCAAACTCCATTGTAGCCCTTTTCTGAACATTCTTCCAAACTGAGCGATTCAGAGTTCTGAGAGAAAACGAGGCCCATGTGGAGACGGTGAAAGGTCGAGTGAGGATGAGGCTTGTCACAGCGCTAAATAGCCTCTCATTTTAATTGCTTGCTGGAATGTGTGCCAGTTACCGCTGCCCACTGACCGTCTATTGACAAAACGCCCCTTGTTGGCTATCCCTTAAAAACCGTAAGTCTTGTGAAACAATTTAATTAGGGCTCTAATTGTTGTTTAACGTATCAAGGACCACTCTGTCTCTCTCACTCCATCCAGTGAACAGCCCGTCTTCTGAGCCTCTTGTTGTCCAGCTTGTACTGAATTAGATTAGGGTATTAAGGGTGGGTGATGTAAAATGCACACGCTGAACAAAACACAACAACAAAAAATGTAACAAACTTTTTTTTTCTATTTATTAATTAAATATATAACCTTTACCCAGTCAGATGGGAGCTAACAGAAAACAAAAGTACAAAAAAAAGCTCCAGACAGAGTGAGTGTGTGTATAACATTGTGGGAGAGCGGTCCACAAGTCCAAAAGGCGAGGTGGTGGGCATCATTCATCCCCTCCATGGCTCGGTCACGGAGGAATGATCGATCCGTTTCCTGCAGGACGTTCTACATAATCAAAGAAAATCAAATAAGGAATAAAATAAAAGCTGTGCAGGTGAGAAAATTCTCGGTGATTAATTCTACGTGTCTAGTTAATGTGTTTTCGGAGAGATGTATAAAATCTGACGCTCTGTTCCGCCGTCCTAGAGTTCGCTTCATGTTCATGACAGCTCTACCGCCTGCATACACACACACACACAAAACCCACACACATGCACACGCACCCACGCACACAATACCTACAGCAACTGTGCAAAAAAGTCTTTGGTAACCAAATTAATTGGAGAAAGAGAAAAAAAATTTAAAAGGAACAAAACTCTGTGACTGAGATGGTTGTCACTAATATACATAACCTCAGTCAGATATCGTACGAGACTGCATTCAATAAATTAGACAGCGGGAATGAGTTGGAAAGGTCAAGATCCAGCAGTTCTGTTCACATAAGTCAAAAACAAAGTTCATGAGAAGAAAAACAAACAAAAAAACAAACAAACAAAACAGTGTCATTAGAGATCATAAGAGAGAAATCAACTGAAATGAAGACATGATCTATGGCCCTTAACTGCAATCATTAAGTTTGTTGGTTTTTCGAAAGATGTATCGCTTGTACGTGTGGCTTCCTGTAAACATTCACAAATAAGAATACATTGAATTTCTCCCCCAACACCACATTTGCACGTCCGTAACTTGACCCCTCATTAAATTAAGTCCCTCTACACCACACTGTGACTGGTGTGCACATCATTGAGGTACACTTCGAGTCCTCACCCGAGGCACCATAAATACGATGCTCATTATTCGATTTGTGAAAAAGAAATGTTCCGACACTTCAGTGACCTTTTTAAAAAGGTCTGTAGGTTTACGTTCTTCGCTGTTTTTTTTTTTGAATACTTTATAAAATGAGTTATTTCAAAATATATCCACAGAAGTCTTTTCTATGAAAAAATAAATTAGGTAGTTGAAAACACCATAAAGAGGAAGACAGGCAGGAGCAGGTCCATGCTTGCAGGGCCTATGCTGTCCTCATTGATCCATTATTAGAACTAGAGATCCTCCGGAAGCCATGGTCGTTCTTCTCCAGCCACAGCTCAGCCAGCTGCTGTGTGGAACCATGGGACGAGGCTTTGGAACCCAGGCACATCTTGTACTGTTTGGGGTCTAGGTTGGGGTCACATATGACGGGGTGATGAACGTGCACTATGCCAGTGTCTGTGCTCCTGAACAACTTAATCCCTGACTGGACGAATTTGTTAAAGAGGTCCACGTCTTCCAGCCCCCAACCTTGGATGGAGACATCAAAGCCACCGGCTTTGACCAGGTCTCCTTTGTAGACGCAGACAATGCCAAAGCCGTAGTGTCTCCACAAGCCCGTCTTGGATGTGAACACGTAGTGGTTGTTGCTCGGTACCTTTCCCGCGTAGACAACCTTGGGGTCGTATTGGCTAAAGATGATGGGGAAGTATGTCTGTTGCCCTAATACGGTGTTCCCACGACATCGCTTCAGGAAATCAGCTGTAAACAGTAAGTCCACGTCACAGTAGAAGAGCAAGGAATCATTGGTGAAGTGGGCCGAGCCGACCTCCAGGGCCAGGGCGCGGGAGAAGGGACCAGAAACTGGCTTGATCTCCATGTCTGCTTTGGGGTACTTCAAACGGTACTCCCTCATCAGCTCAATCTGCTTAACGCGCTCGGTGTTGTTGTCGGTGCTGAAGAGAAGAATCAGCAGTTTGACGTTCTGGTTGGGGATGAGACAGATCTTCTCAAAGTTGGCCATGAAGCGCACAAAGATCTCGTAGCGTCCCGCCAGCGGCACGAGGATGCTGACCTTCTTCTCTTTGGGTTCGTGCTGCTCTGCGCCCGAGCCGCTAAGCTTGAACGGCACAAACATCTTAAGGGAGCTGGAGAGGAAAGAGAGTGAGTCCGAGTCCTGGTTGATCCTAGCGGCCAGCGCTCGAGCGTCCATTTCCTCCTCCTCCAGGAACTGGATCTTGCTGAAAGTCTGCTGAAGGTAAGCGTGCCTCCTCACAGGTACGGTCATGGTCTTCCCCTTGTGCTTCTTGTAAAGCAGCAACAGATCAAGCACGTATTCAGCACCGTACATAGGGTTGACCCTCCGGTAGCCATACTGAATCTCTTTGAAGTCAATGACCCTCCCTCGTGTCTTAGCGTTGGCGTTGATCATCTCCATAACCTGCATTATGATGTCGTCTAGTGCCATCTTCTGTGAGGAGTCGATGCCACGGCGTGGAGGCTGCCCGTCCAAGGCGGAGAAAATGTACTTCCCTGTGAGGAACTCCCACTCCAGCACCTCCTCCCGCTGGTGAGGATGGAACCGCATGAAGGAGGGAGGCATGCCAAGCTGCAGGTCCTCTTTGTGCACCTCCGTGTTGCCGTAACGACTCATCTGCACAATCTCCCGGTGTAGCTGAATGGTGCGGTGGCGAAGCTCCGCGATTTTGCGGCTCAGCATGTAGCTGTGTAGCCGATACTGGTAAGGCGGGTTCTTGTTGGGATGAAGTGTGATGGCCCTGTGAATCTTGCTGTTGTGGAGGTCTCGGATGTAGCCCTTCTTGTTCGGCTCATAGTTTTCGTAGAACAGCTGCTGCATCTGAAAAAATGAAAAGAAAAAGATGTTACGAATTCTGCAAAATAAACTTCACCTTTATCAAGGCAAGCAGCAATCCCCCCCCCCCTATACTCTACCATTTAAAAGTTTAAAACCTCACTGGTACCAGTAATATAAAATTAAGCTGTGTAAAAAATATTAGAATATTTGAATGATTCACAGGTTTCAGTTAATAAGTAGGGCACTAGAAAGCGCCTGTTAGACGTATCAAGAACGAAATGGTGATCAAATTAAAAAGAATCATTTTGGTATATTATTATTATCATTATCATATTCATTTTGCTAAGATGCTATACACCAATATCTAAACAGCATAAACAACTAGATTTACGTCTTAAACAACTAGATTAAACGTCAATATAGAAGTGGTTATAAACTTTTGCGTGGCAGGACATATATAAGAAATTTTATACATATCACACGTTACAATTAAAAAACAGTGTCAACAGACAATTTAAGTGAACTACAGGAAGTTTGGAATGTGGTCGCAAGACCAACTATGGAGGAAAATGAGCTGATGAAATTGATATTCCACTCATTACAACTCGAGTCCACAACAGAGTCTGGAACAAACATAAATCTTCAAGGCCGAAAGGTCAGCAGAGTCACGGGCATGGACTGCCAATTTTCAGGGCTAAATAAGCTGGGCCACGTGAAGGCAGTATTTGTTTTCACAAAACTGTACTGATGATTAATTTTTCTGTCTCCCCCTGACTGAACACAAATTTCCAACTGCTTTTCTCTTGGAGAGAGCAGTCCAGCACAAATCAGCAGAGGAAGGTGAAAACAGGACTCCAGCGGCGCTCCTAAATCCGTGGGCTGTTGGCTTTAGTTGAGAGGGATAAGGCTGTGAGCGGGACAAGGAGAGAAAGCAAGGTCAGGGTGACCTGAGAAAGCCCTTCTCCGGCCGGGAGGCAGCAGCACCAGCAGGGATGTTCCTAACGAACTACCGAGCCCCTCATCATTAGTAAACCCTCTAATTAGCCAACCGCTGGTTCCTTTCCGTAATTAGTACTTCATGACTCATTATAACAATTCTCTCACGGACAAAGACCTGGTCAGTCTGTTTATTACAGGTTTGATGTAATGAATGTTGAGTACATGCGCGGTTCAACTGAAAGGTGTTGCCAGATGTGCAGGTAAAAAGAGGAGGCTGGGAAGCTGAGGCCTATTCTTCGGTATAGCATTCAACAAACCTCTGACAAGCGCAATTCAGACAGAAGTTCTTTATTGCGCTCCACTTCTCTCTTATATAAAAGTTACAAAAAGCCAGAGTCACGGTTAAATGTTTACCTTTCGCCTCCAATGCTTAAGCACCGTACGCTTCGAGCGAAACACCCAGAGGTCGACGTAACTGGTATGTTATGAAAACATTTACACGCTGACCTTCGGATAGCAGACGAGTCCTTGCAATGGAGGATGCCAGAGGAGTGAACTAAAGGAACCCATGAATAAAAAAGGCGCGAATTCACAAGCACTGCGATAGCACCGTCCTCCAACGTCCCTGAGCCTGAACAAATATATTACGGCAAGACAAAAGCACTTGAAGCCTACAGATAAGACAGTGAAATCCACACGGGGGAAAGGACAGCATTAGCCTGCTTTTTGTCAGGCCACTTCGCATTTCCATTACAGCTCAGTGAGACAAAGTCAGACGCTGCTGCCAAAATAATCACAGCAAAGTAATGCCAATCGATCGCATTTCTCTAAAAACCTTAAAAGACGTTTATGCTTGAGCTTACTGCATATACCCGTGGACACTTGGCTACACCAAGAACCTGTAAGATGTTTTATCATTTGAACTTCTACTCTAGAAGACGTCCATTTCAGGTTTCAGCACCAGTGAGGGGGAGTGCAATTCAATCATCTGGGGACCTTTCAGGGCTATAGCTGTGAAAAGGCACTCTTTGTGAATGGGACATTTAGGACAATCGATAATATCTAAACTCTTCAAGCTGACACGGTTTTGGTATGATAATGACCTAGTTGTCCTGAAGCTAATGGGCTAAATGGTAAGACTAATGCACTACTGCAGATTGAGTTCAAATAATGGGTTGTCTCACAGTTTAAGTGGCCAGTGTTCACTCAAACTGTGATGCACGAAGACTAAAAGCATAACTAAACTGACAAAACATCAAAAAATAACTCAGTTTAACGAGAAAAGACATAAAACTCAAAGGTGTATTTTCTTTATACTGACAGCATTGTTATCAAAAGCTTGTGGAAATATCATGCTAATGCAATAAAATATTAATACCACCAACTTTTTAACTGCATTAACACATTTTCCTAATCTGAGCATTCAGACTGTAGTAGTGCAGGCCGAAGACCAGCTGCAGCACCCTGTATGTGGCTATGATAGAGTTCGCAACTGTAGCGCTCTCAGTGAAGTATGGTTTTTAAAAGGCTTTTAAAGCTATACCAGACTACATCACAGGTGAACTATGAATTAATCAACGAGCAGCAAACGAACAAAAGCAACAGTTAAGCTGAGCTTCAACCCTCAAGAGCCTGTATGAAGCTGTATGAACCAAAGCGAGAGGCTACAATCACCAAGGAGGTGAAACCACTGACTATCACTGACTAGAACATGTAGCCACTGTTGCTCTCACTGGATGTTGGTTATGAAAATAGGAAACATCCACTCTTACATTATCTTCATATTCAGCTTCATGTAATCTTGCATTTGCGCACTGAAAATAATGCAACTAAAACAAAACGCACGGCTGGAGCTGCAAAAAAAATGGCCTGTTGCTGGAGGTCTGCAGCCAGAAGCTGCTGCTGCTTTTTAAAGCTTTTGTTTTAGGGTCATTTGAAGAAAATTATGTGCAATTAACTAAACAACCGGTACCGCTTTACAATAAGATTACACACAAATGGTTTAAAAATAGTTTAATAATGGTTAATAAGGTCATAAACATCTTTATATATATGGGCAACAGTGACCTGTTGCTTGCCAAATAATGAGCCCACTTCCATCTATCCTGTTAAACTTCAGATCTTACTGGTTACTTATTTTAGTTTAAGTTCTCAATCAGTCAGGAACGTACCTGTCAGCCTCAGATATAGCAGGCCCTTTTGTTTACGTGTTATAACAAGCTTATTAAAGATTTTTAAGGTGTGTACGACCTAATTAACAAACAATAATGAACTAATTTTTAAGCCATTCAAAACCCTTCAAAGAGGTAGTCTTATCTTAAAGAGGTAGCAAACAAACTAAGTTCCTTAACTGCATTTATTTTAATCAGTTGACAGCCGTTTAATCAGTTTGTCAGTTCCCCATTTGACTGATGGGAAAGGATGTCACTGTTGCTGCAACGAATGCAAAAGGTTAAATACTGTTTAGGTACTTTTACTAGAAGTTTCCACGAGTCTCTTACAATCAAAACATCATCAGTTCCTACATGACCAAAAGGTTTTTAAATCAGTGTGGAAATTCAGCACAACATTCTAAACCACATGTATCAGGCTCCAGTCTTCGCAGGCCAAAAGAGTGCAGACTTCAGCACTCTGCCTCTTTAAACACAACTGATTCAGCTCATCAGCTAATTAGTAAGGCCTTCATGAACTGAATTCAGAACGTTAGATGAGGGTAAACGCTGATCTCTGCAGCCCAGAAGGTCCCCAGTTTAACATGCCTGTTCTAAACTAAAGACACTTAGGAGGATCTTGTGTGACTGGACACCTAGCACGCTTCTGACTGGCAGACTGTGGCTTGTGGTTTATTATGAACTGACATACCTATATGCTTAGAAACAATAAATAATATCCAATAACTACTCATTTAATAAGAAAGAGTAAGCTCTTTATACTGTGCCTTGTTTCAATGCCTATAAAGACACTCACAGTTCACAAAACACTGCACTTCTTACTACATGCAGTGTCTTGTTCAGGTTTTTTTAGATTTAGTTCTGATAATCAAAGCATCCAAACCAGCAGGACCAGTGATCAAGTGCCAGACTAAGCTTATTTCCTTCTTTCTTTCTTTACTGGAAAATTCTTCAAAAGAACCCGCAAAAAATGAATGCTTAAAAAAAGCCACTACTCCAGTCATCATTAGGCATAATTTAATCTGTGAGTATTTTGGAATTACTTTCATATGCAGGCTATAATTTTCCCTCTCAGTCTTTCCGTGTGCTGTTTCTTTTACCCCAGGATTTCAGTGTGCGCACACACGTGTGTACACATGCCCGTAGTAAATAAGTGCCAAGTGACAGGCTGTGCTGAGTCAACGGTGGGCCTACAGCTCCACTGCATTGCCATCCATCAGCCAGAAGGCGCGGCTCACAGGGCCGTGGAATAAATGACACTTATTATCCGCCACACAGAGCGCCTCACCACAGCACTGCCAGTCATGCAAATCTAATTTAAAAATGCCATTAGAGCCTTTTAATTGGCTTCACCGCAGCGTAATGGCCCTTATGTACAGTATGCCCCCTGATGCTGCTCTAAGGCCTGCTTTCCCCGCTAAGATGCTGGCCTCAAACAAAACGAGAGAAACAGTGCAACCCGTCTCATGTCGGCAGCTAGAGGCAGCTTTTGCACAACTACAATACTGAAGGGCCACCCCAGGAGGCCTGCAGTAGGAGGTTTTAGCCATGCTTGGCTGCAAAAAGACCAACAGAAGTTCACTGGGTTTTGGTGTGTGGATGATTCTTTGAAAGGTTTTGCTAAGAAACAGAAGTGTTGACAGGTTTTCTGAGACCAATCAGGAAAAAAACCACTAGAGTTTTTAATTTTACCCAGCCTCGCCCCTCCGAATTCCATCTGCTAGATAGGTCTCTTCCATTACACAATGCTACCATGGTGAGAAGGTAAAGACTAGCACATGCTCTCTCCAAGTCACGTGAAGCACCACTGCATCTTCTCAATCTGCTGCTAACACATAATTGGACAGCTCAACATGCTTGCAGGAGAACACTAACTTCAAATTCTGTTAATGAAGTGACTAGCTCCGTGCTGAGTGATGGGAAGAGATGGAA